CACTGCTCCCCAACACTTTTCAGCAACATCCGCTGCCTGGCTTCATTCCTCGGGTTTTTAACTGTTCATCTCTCTCCCATGCCTGGTGTACAGCGAATTAACACTCAAATGTTGGCATCGTTCTTCCAGTCCAGGAACTAGGCTACAGTGGCACCCGGCACCATGGCATGAAATTGGTCTTGGAATGTCTTCACTAGCAAGATAGGCACAGTGCCATCCTATGGCACCAAGGGGGAAGAATGAGTCCCGTTCACACATGGAAGGGTAAATGTTAAACTGCAGTGGAAGCAGGAGCCTTCGCCGCCGGGCTGCTCCTAACTCAGCCCTCACTGGTGTGCGCCAGCTGGAATGTAGGGGAAAGGGTAGATGAGGAGCTGGCGCACTGGGCCCAGCTCCCAGCATTGATGGACCTTGCTCCTTGCTCCTAGGCCAGCCTGGCAGGTCCTGGCAGTGGAAGAGGTCAGCCAGGGCTGGGTGGGAGGGACCCATAGGAAGTGGGGCAGGAGTAAACGGAGGCCAGAGGCCAGCCTCAGTCCACAGATCAACCTAGGCCTTTTTTATTCATCTTTCTAGAACACAGGTCTGGCCATGAGAGCAGTGGGCAAAATGAGCTCCCTTGGCCATTGTCACTGGTGAGCCCAGTCCTGTGGTGCTGGAGGGGCCATCCTCTCCCCACAGCACTTGAGAACAGGGAGTGGGGAGAGCTGGTTCCACCCATGCCAGTCAGGCATTTTACAAGAAACACAGGTTAGAGACCTTGGCCAGGTCCTGGCCCCAGTCACAAAACCCTGTGTGCCCATTTCTGCTTCCCAACTGACTACTCGTGGAGGGCAGCATTTGTATTCACATCCTAACGCTGCTGCGCCAAGCAGCCGCAAACTCAGTGACTCAGAACAACACCAGTGAAATGAGTCTTCCGGTTCTGGCAGGCCAGAAAAGTTCAAAATCACAGGCTGAAATCAAAGTGTCAAGGCTGCTCCAGCTGTGGGTTCTCGAGAATCTTCCAGCTTCAGAAAGATTGTGCATTCCTTGACTTGTAACCTCTGCTCCCCACACAGAGAGCCCCCCTCTTCTAACACCCCATGTCCCTCTGCTCCCCTCCTAGGACACTTGAGAGTACAAGTGGCTCACGCCTGTGATCCTAGCTAATCACGAGGCCGAGATCTGAGGATCTCAGGGCAAAGCCAGCCTGGCCAGGAAGTCTGTGAGATTTTTTTTTTTTTTGGGTGGGTCGTGGGGCTTGAACCCAGATCTGATGGGCCTGGGTGCTGTCCCTGAGCTCTTCAGCTCAAGGTGAGTACTCTATCACTTGAGCCACAGTGCCACTTCTGGTTTTTTTAGTAGTTATTTGGAGAGAAGAGTCTCACAGACTTTCCTGCCCCGCTGGCTTTGAACTGTGATCCTCCTGAGAAGCTTGGATTACAGGCCTGAGCCACCAGTGCCCAGCTGTGAGACAATTATTTCCAATTAACTACCAAGCCAGAAGTAGAGTTGTGACTCAAGTGACAGAGTGTCAGCCTTGAATGAAAAAGCTAAGAGCACCCAGGCACTGAGTTCGAGCTCCAGTACTGGCACAAAAAGAAATTAAAAACAGAAAATCCCACTTCAAAATCATCCATTTAGGGGTGGGAAGGTGGCTCAGTGGTAGAGTGCTTGCCTTGCATGCATGAGGCCCTGGGTTCAATTCCTCAGCACCACATAAGCAAAAAGTGGCGCTGTGGCTCAAATGGTAGGTAGAGTGCTAGCCTTGAGCTGAAGAGCTGAGGGACAGCGCCCAGGCCCAGAGTTCAGGTCCACGACCGCATCAAAAAAAAAAAATAATAATAATCCATTTAAGCCGGGCACCGGTGGCTCACGCCTATAATCCTAGTTACTCAGGAGGCTGAGATCTGAGAATCACAGTTCAAAGCCGCCCAGGCAGGAAAGTCTGTGAGATTTATCTCCAATTAAACACTAGAAAGCCGGAAGTGGCACTGTAGCTCCAGTGGTAGAGCACTAGCCTTGAGCTGATGAGCACAGGGACAGCACCCAAGCCAAGTTCAAGCCCCACAACTGACCAAAAAAAAAAAAAAAATCATTTAGTCACACTGCAAATTTCTTTTAGTACATAAGGTTTGGAACTCAGGTTCCAGAGATGAGGGGCCACTAAACAATCACCCCATTTTCCCCCAGCATATACATCATTTCCCATCAGATACTTCTGCCCATCAAAATTCTTCTTAATTTGGGGAGCCAAATTAATTTACTCCTGTAATCCTAGCTATTCAGGAGGCTGAGATCTGAGGACTGCAGTTCAAAGCCAGCCAGGATAGGAAAGTCCATGAGACTCTTATCTCCAATTAACCAGCAGAAAACGGGAAGTGGCGCTGTGGCTCAAGTGGTAGAGCACTAGCCTTGAGCTGAAGATGTGAGGGACAGTGCCCAGGCCCAGAGTTCAAGCCCCACAACTGACAACAAAAAAATTAATTTGGGGGGCTGGGAATATGGCTTAGTGATAGAATGCTTGCCTAGCATGCACAAAGTCCTGGGTTTGATTTCTCAGTACCACATACACAGAAAAGGCCAGAAGTGGTGCTGTGGCTCAAGTGGTAAAGTGCTAGTCTTGAGTAAAAGCAGCTCAGGGACAGTGCCTAAGCCTTGAGTTCCAGCCCCAGGACTGGCAAAAATAACAATAATTAATTGGGACTAGTTGCATAGTGGGTCATGGCACACTGGAAAGCTACAGAATCTGAATTGCTAAGAGTTTAACCCAGAATTTCCATGCAAACATTTATTATTTGCACAATCAAAATTAAATTTTCAAATATGTACCAAACAAAAACAAGCCAACCAGCATCCTCATGGGCTTATCTTCCCCAGGGACTCTGGCTCCCAGGGAGGGGATGTTGATGTCCTCAGGACTCTGCATCTTCCTTCCTGGTGTGCTGGTTCCTGAGGACCAGCAGAGGGTGGCAGAGACTGTGTTCTGAGGGTTCAGCTGACCTTACCAGCTGTACATGTCACCCCTTGAATATCAGTTTCCTATTTCATCCTGGCAGTGGGTGGTACCACCTCACCAACCCATGGAGGTATACTGGGGCCGGTTCACAGGAGAGACGGGGCTTCCCAGGGTCACCGCCAGCAGCACAGCTTCCGCAGCTCACAGGCCTCTGCCTCTACCTAGACACAGGGACATGGTTTTTGGTGTTTTTCTTTTGCCAGTTCTGGGGCTTGAACTCAGGGCCTAAGCACAGTCTCTGAGTTTCATTTGCTCAAGGCTAGCACTCTTCCATTTGAGCCACAGTGCCACTCCTGCTTTTTCTGTGTATGTGGTGCTGAGGAACCGAACCCAGAACTTCATGAATGCTAGGCAAGCACTCTACCATTAAGCCACATTCCCAGCCCAGGGACATGTTTTAACCTGAGCTTGACAAAGATGGAACAAGGGGTCTTGGCTTGAGGTCCTTTTCCTCTGAGAGATGTGGTTTCTCCTACGAGCCTCACCTGGAAGCCCTGAAAACTTACAGCTTTACAGATGAAGAGGGTCTCTAGATAGTGAGGTCTGTCCAGAGAATGGAGCCTAAAATTGGTCACAGGTGATATAGTGCCAGGCCCTTTCTAGCTATTGCAGGGCTTCACGGACTCTAGCGCCCTCTGGTGGTGTGGAGAAGCGTACTGAGAAAACCAGCAGTTTGGAGAGAGAGGAGAGGGGAAAACTGCGCCCAGGTGGTGGCAGCCTCAGGCTGACCGGCCATTCTCCAGCCACAAGGATCAGATCTGGCTCCACCTGGGTGTCCTTCACGCTGGAACTCGGAACTGAGACAGGAAATCAGCCTCCTTGTGCCTGAGAGGGACTGAGGATCAATGCAGGTTAGACTCAGAGTGGCAGGAAAGGCTGTGTGTGAGGAAGGGACCTGGGAGGTGGGAAGCAGGGATGGAGACTGAGGGATACAGAGATGGTGAAGTGCAGGGATGAGGGATGCAGGAGGTGAGAGGCAGAGGCGGAGGACTGCAGGGATAGGGGACGGCCCTCTTTCATTATCCCATGGCATTATTGGCCAAATTTCTGCCTTGCCAAGGGATCTCTGGGTCCACAGGCTCTCCTGGGCTCCTGGTCCAAGACACCCTCAAAAATTAAGACCTAATCAGAAATTAAAAACAGCCTCTGGATGCAGCTCCACCCCTCCCCACCCCATAAACGCACACAGCCTCAGGTCCAGCTTTGCTCCTTCCCTCTGCAGCCCAGGGTGCTGGATCACCTCTGGAGGGTGTGGGGGCTGGGGGAGCAGAGTAAACGGGGTACCTTGGATCTAAACCGGGTGCCCTGAAGGGAGCCAGCGTGACACAGGTGGATGTGGAGAGGCCGAGGAGGGGAGGGAGAACACTCTGCAGGATGGGTCATGGCCCACAGCGCTCCCTCACGCCCCGCTGCTGTGTGCTGATATGCTGATACAGTCTACCTAGTATGAATTAGTTACCATGAGGAACAGGAATTGTGCTTTTGAAGAGTCTGGGGTTCCCAGTTGCCCACTAATTATCAGAGCCCAGTGGATACAATTTAGTCCACCAGCCACCTGCCTGGCTTCTGGAGGGCCCCTCGAAGGCTACCAGGCCTGAGCCATCAGCGCAGGAGACCGAGACCCTCCCTCTAGACCCCACCGGGGCCTGGCACTGAGCCAGTGCTCTTCTGAGCACCTGTCCTGCATCTTGTCACCAAACCCCCACATTTCTGATGAGCAGGGGACTGTCCCTATACCCATCTCCATCTGACAGATGAGGAACCAGACTAGGAGATTTGAGGGCCATCACTACGCAGAGTCCCACAGTCAGCCAGGGGCAGAGCCAGACCTGTCCCCCATGGACATCTGCACCCAGATTCCCTGACAAGCTGCTCAGCAATCAGCCTACCGGACCTTTAGCACCTAAAGCCAAGAGGGGGGGAGTCACTCCAGGGCTAGCCTGACCTGGTCCTGGCCTGGCCTTCCTTGTCAAGAAGCTACAAGGCACTCAGCACACAGACCTCCAAGACAGCACCCCCTAGGAGGGAGCAACAGAACATTTCCTTTATTGCAAATACAACGAGAGTCCCAGGGGAGATCTGGGAAGAACGTTCCAAAAGCTAGGGAAGTCTGGGAGGGGTCTCCCTAATGCACACTGTCCCACCACCTTGGCCAGGCAGGACCCAGTGCGATCCACTATAGGGGAGCCCTAGCCTAGGCCCAGGATAGAGGGGCTGATTCCCTGGGGTTCTGTGGGGAGGGGAGGCCAACCCTCTGTGACTGCCCCTCCGCACCCCACTCATTACCCTCAGCATGGTTGTGGGCAGAAATTGAACCTGGGCCTTATTCCCAGCACCCTGAGGTATCCAGTGTCAGTAGTAGATAATTAGGGGCAGGGTGGAAAAGAGGTAAATGTCTCTGGGCCCCCATATACACACAGCAGTGCAGGGCTGGCCTCTCCCGCCTCCTTCCTTCTGCGCAGTAGGGCACTCAGTGAGCAGGGGGGACCTGGGCGATGGCTTCCTCCACCCGTAGGTACCAGGGCTGGATGCGTGAGTGCTGCATCAGGTCATCAAAGGCCTCCAGACCCTCCATGACCCGCAGTACGCCGTAGACCGCCTGTGTGGGGCATGGAAATGGAAATGGCACTGTGGCTGGGCCCAGATGGGGCACCACAGTCAGGGCACCAGACAGGGTACCACACATGGGGCACCACAGCCAGAGAGCATGTCCGGACCTGCCTGCTCTGGGCGCATCACCTCTCCTCTCACACCCACATGCCTTGCGGGCAACAGGCCCACCCAAGCGTCCCTGGGAAGGAGCGATCCCAGCACGCCATTCCCAAACCCAGGCCACCAGGCTGTAGAACTGCTCCAGGATGGGCACAGAAGCCAGACCGATGACATTGCTGGTAGAAGCCTGGAGCCAGGCCGACATCAGGAATTGGTGTTGAGATGGAGACAAGGAAAACCTGGACCCTGCCGCCATTTGGGCTTCTGGATCCAGGCAAGCTGAAAGCCAACACTTTTCCTGAACTTGTTAGTTATGTGAACCAGGAAGGTTCCTTGTAGTTGGCTTTCTCCTCTAATAGACAAACGCAGCGTTTCTGGAGAGCTGTAAGAGGCAGGTATCGCCTGGATGCTGCCCCCAGCCCACACCCAAGGCAGAGCCCTTTGTGTGGCATCCTCCCTGCTCTGTTACTGCACCTACCAGATCAGCGAGGTTCGGCTTCTGGCCCCCCATGAAGGGCCGGTCCTTGCCTACTGCTGCCACCCACTTGTTGGCAGCCTCGTAGAGATCCTCCCGCACGTCGTCCTGGAGGTGGTGCCTGGGCGGGGCATGGGGGTCCATCAGGAGGTGCTTTCCCCCAGCCACGTGGGAAGCAAGGACTCCTCTGGGGATCAGTTAGGCTGAGGGAGCAGGGCGGCCCCCAGGGGGACCTGGCACCTGCAGAGCCTCAGCAGTGGCAGGCACAGGCTGCAGACTCCAAGGTCTGGGGCGGGGGAGCTCTGGGCTGAGTCCCAGCATGCCTCGCCTCCCCCAAGGATTTGCTGGGACAATACACCAATGGAAGATGGGGGTCCTCAGACAGCCGGCCCCAGGCCCACACCCACCATCACCTGCTCTTGAGGCGCTTGCTGATGAGGTACATGGCGGCGGCACCCACATACTTGGCCATGGCACCCTCCACGGCCCCAAATTTGCCCTCACGGACAATGTAATCGAAGGACGCCAGGGCCTCGGCAGGCGTGCGGTACACGTTGGGGGAGATGAGGTGCACCAGCCAGTCATCTGCCCACTGCCGCCACTTCATCTCCTCCCTGTGGGCACACGAGGACAGAGGGGCTGGGCAGCTGAGCCACAGCTTCAGGGGTTAAGAGTGGGACCCATTCTCGGGGGGGGGGGGCACGTGACCCACAGCACCCAGCCACGCTGCTCCCCACACTGCATCGGCCCGAGGCAAGCCCAGCCCCACTCACGTCCGGGCCTCCTTCCCCGCATACATCTGCCGGGCTTCCTTCTCGTCTAGCATGAGCCAGTACTTGTTGCAGAACTCTGTCACCTCCTTGCCTTGGTCATTCATGGACTTCATAGGAGGGTAGTAGGTGATGACCTCCTCCAGAGGCTGCCTTTGGGAGAGAGACAGAGTTTCACTTAAGGCCTTCCCTCTCTTGTCCATGCTGACTAACGCTGCTCAAGCCCAGGGCGCCAGCCCCAGGCTGCTGCATACCCCTCAAGGCTCTATGCCCTTTGGCAGCAAGAAGGAATTTTTTTTTTTTGCCAGTCCTGGGGCTTGAACTCAGGGCCTGTCCCCAAGCTGCTTTTGCTCAAAGCTAGCATTCTACCACTTGAGCCACAGCACCACTTCCTACTTTTTCTTTTTCTTTTTTTTTTTTTGTCGGTCGTGGGGCTTGAACTCTGGGCCTGGGCGCTGTCCCTCAGCTCTTCAGCTCAAGGCGAGCGCTCTACCACTTGAGCTACAGCGCCACTTCCGGTTTTCTGGTGGTTTATTCGAGATAGGAGTCTCACGGTCTCTCCTGCCCGGGCTGGCTTTGAACCACGATCCTCAGATCTCAGCCTCCTGAGTAGCTAGGATTACAGGCGTGAGCCACCAGCGCCCGGCATCCACTTCCTACTTTTTCTGTGTATGTAGTACAGAGGAATCAAACCCAGGGCTTCCTGCATGCTAGGCAAGCACTCTACCACTAAGCCACCTTCCCCCAGATTTGAGTGAGACACAGCAGTACTTCCTTAACACAAGGAGATGTAGGAGCTGAGAGAGAGGATACTCTTGGCTCATTCCAGATATTTTAGCAGCAGTCCTACCCTACTCTCACACAAAATCTTGGGGAGCCCTCCTTGGAGAGAGAAGCTCGGATGGAACCTCCTGTCTGCCTGGGCCTCCCAAGGGCTCCTTACCCCGACACCAGGTAGGTCTTGAGGGCACTGATGATGACAGAGGAGTCGTTCAGTTGTTTCTACAAGAGAACAGACAACTTCGGTGCTGGGCCTGGACTCAGGGCCTCCCACTCTTGTGTGGCTTTTTCGCTAGCACTCTACTTGAGCCACAGCTTTGCTTCCAGCTTTTTGCTGATTAATCAGAGATACAAATCTTTCGGATTTGTCCTGGGCTGGCTTTGAACTGTGATCCTCAGACCTCAGCCTCCTGAGTAGCTAAGAATGCAGGCGTGAGCCACAGTATGCCCTACCAGGCAACTTTTTTTTTTTTTTTTTTAAATGTCCCTCAGGTCTCCATGTGAGAAGTTTTGTTAAACTCACTGGCACCCAAACTAGGGCAAGAATGCCCTACCTGGTGGCTCAGTATTAGCATGGCAAATCATCATCGGGACCAGGCAACTTTTTTACCTTATTTCTTGTAGTGCTAGAGCCTCGTGTACACTCAGCAAGTGTTCTACCACTGCGCCACACTCCAGATCAAAAGACAGGTTTAGATCAAAGGTTCTGGCCAGTGGCTGGGGGATCAGCATGGACTCCTAAAAACACCAAGCCTAGGCAACGCAAGGTCCCACAGAGCTTGGGCCTTGTTTATCCCTCACCCCAAACCCCATGACCACTGAGCCTGTACCTCCCCACCTTCAAATCCTTGCTCTTAGTAAAGGCAACCAAGTGTGGGTAATGGGGGTGCCCCAGCATCTGACCTCTAAGGTGAGGATGGACTCTAGAAGCTGAACACTGTGTTAGACATTTCATATCTGTGTCCTACAGCCCAGAGTCCAGTCCCCTGTTAACTAATCAAGAAGCCAGACCATGCTGGATGCTGGTGGCTCAAATCTGTAAGTACTAGCTAGTTAGGAGGCAGAGATCTCAGGACTGTGGTTCAAAACAGTCCAGGCTGAAACCACCAAAAAGCCAGAAGCAGAACTGTGGCTCAAGTGGTAAAGTGCCAGCCTTTAATGTAAAGGTTAAACAAGAGCATGAAACCCTGAGTTTTGTCCCAGTACTGGTGAGAGATACAAGGATAAGAGATAAGAGATAGAAGACAGGGAGAGAGAGAGAGAAATCGAGAAAGGGGCGGGGAGAGGGAGAGGAGAGGAAGGAGAGGAAGAAGGAAAGAGAGAAAGAGAAAAAAAGCCAAAGCTGGGCACCAGTGGCTCAGACCTATAACCCTAGCTACTCAGGAGGCTGAGATCTAAGGATCTCAGTTTTAAGCCAGTCCAGGAAGAAAAGTCTCCATGAGACTCTTATCTCCAATTAACCACTCAAAAACAGGAAGCGGGATCTGTGGCTCCAGTGGTAGAGCACTAGCCTTGAGCACAAAGAAGCTCAGTAACAGTGCTCTGGTCCTAAGTTCAAGTCAAGCCTCACAACCGGAAAAAAAAAAAAAAAGCCTAAACAGACTAAGTGACCTGCCCCACAACACACAGGAAGAGGATGGCAAAGCCACACTTGGAACTCAGACCACTTGACCTCAGAACCCATGGTGTTAATCCCTGAGTGGTCAGCCTCCCTGAGGCTCAGCTGGTGGTACTGATAGGGAAGGAAGATTGATTGCCAAACATCTACCACTTTGTTGTGTTTGTTTGGGATGGGGTGGGGGAAGGGGCTCACTATTTTTTCCAGGCTGGTCTTGAACTCAGGGATTTGAGTGATCATCCTACCTCAGCCTTCCCAGTGGCTGGGCCCCTAAGCCTGGCTATGACCTGAATTTACCACATCCCCTGTACACCAGCTGTTTTCTCCCTCAAAAAACTCCATAAAGGCCTAGGGGTCCTAAGTTTTTTCAGGGGTGTGGAGTAGGCTAGATTTGAGGGTGTCTCTGGACAAGTTAGGAGAGAAAGGAGGCAGGCAGATCCATGAGGCTCACCAAGCTGTCCCCTTCCTGGACCATCAGGATGGGCACTTTCCTATAGGAGGAGAACTTGATCTCGGTCCTGAGCACAGGGTTCACCTCCACTATCTCATAGGGCAGAGCATGGAAGTCGAGGAAGGCACGGACTTTGCTGCAGAAGGGACATGTCTTGTACTGGTACAGGGTCAGCTGCAGGCGACTGGAGAGGGACATCTAGGGGAGAGAAAAAGGAGGGAGCTTCTGAGACCAGGTGTCCAGGACCCAAGCAAACATTTCCCCCAGGAAGTGACTGGAGAATATGAGGCAGAATAGGGGTGGGGTGAAAGGGAGACTAGGATTAGGGTTGATAGGGAGAAAAGTGGGTAGGGAGGTAGGAGAATGGAGGCACTGGGAGGTAGCAGACAGCACTGGTGCAAATCCCCAGAGCAGAGGTCTGTTCTGGAAGGAGGCATCCATTCAGGCACAGGTGGCTCATGCCTATAATCCTAGCTACTCAGGAGGCTGAGATCTGAGAATCATGATTCAAAGCCAGCCAGGGCAGGAAAGTCTGTGAGACTCTTATTTCCAACGAACCACCAAAAAAGCCAGAAGTATAATGTAGATCAAGTGGTGTTGGTCTTGAGCAAAAACACTCAAGGATAATCTCCAAGCCCCTCGGTTCAAGTCCAAAGCCAGGGATCTGGGTTCTTCTGCAGAAAATCCCCCAAGCTGGGGCTGGGAAGGTGGCTCAGTGGTAGAGTGCTTGCCTTGCGTGCATGAGGCCCTGGGTTCGATTCCTCAGCACCACATAAGCCGGAAGTGGCGCTGTGGCTCCAGTGGTAGAGCGCTCGCCTTGAGCTGAAGAGCTGAGGGACAGCACCCAGACCCAGAGTTCAAACCCCCACGACCGACAAGAAAAGAAAAAGAAAAAAAGAAAACCTCCCAGCGCTCTCGCTATGGTTTTCAAGCGGAAAGCCACAGCTGTAGCATCCCAAGGTCCCGACAGGAAACGGGCCGCATGTGGAGGTGGACAGGGAGCCACAGCTATTCTCCTTCCTCCACCCTCTTCTTCCGGGGTGGGGTGCGGAGAGGGGGGCTCAGTGGGGCCCACCTCCCTGTCTGGGGACCCAGAGTCTGAGGGTCGGCGGTTCCACTAAAGCAACCTTAATACATTAGACGGGCGATGGCAAGAAAGACACCCCCGCGATGCTTGGTGGCGGGCGTCGGCAGCGCCCCATCCTACAGAGGCCGACGCGGCGGGTTTGGGCACCCAAGCCCAGGTCGCTGGCCCAAGGTCACGAGAGGGCGCAGGAGGCGACTTCTGACGCCGTGGCTTCTCAGGAGTCCCGAGTTCGGAGTCGGTCCGGGCCCCCCCCCCCCCCCCGGCCTCACCTGCACGGCGGAGCGTTGGGCGCGCAGGGGCTGGGCGCGCAGGTGCCACCGCGCCGTGTGGTACAGCCCGAGCGCGCCGCCCAGGGCCAGCGCCGCCGCCCCCAGCAGCCGCGGGCTCCCCTTGCGGGTGGCCGCCGTCGGGCCCCGACCTCCCGCCGACTCCACGAAGCTAGCCTGGCTCTGTGCGAGGAGCGGTGGCCAGAGGCGCCCACCCAGCCGGTCGGCCAGGGCGCACCGGCGGGACCCCAGCGCCCGCGCCGCCAGGGCCATGTTCGCTCCGCCGGCTCTGCGGGCGGGCGCGTGAAACCAAATCGGGCAAGGTTCCGGCTCTCCTTAAAGGGCCCGGCCGCAGGGACCGGCCGGTTGCCTTGGGTGATGGTGACGCCGAGAGGGGACCAGATGCTCTGTTGGGACCAGGGCTTGTGCCCCCGTCAGAGCAGCCGAAACACACTCAGGGGTGCTTACAAGTGACTCCACGCCTCGTTCCTTGGGTGCATCTATGGCAGTTCGTGATTAGTCGTGTCATAGTGTCAATATCGTACATCCATTCGAAGGAAACCTGCCGAGCAAAGGGCCCAACGCCCGGCCAAGGCTTGTTGTTAGGGGAGCCGTACTCGGCTCCGTGTCTGTGCGTGTGTCTCGCGGGGAGAGCGAGGGAACTGCAGCACCTCCGTTACTTTCTGCCCTCCCGCACCGCTGAACGCTTCTGCTCTGACCTGAACCATACATTTTTTTTCAAACGTGGGGCCTTGGAAGCGGAGTGTCTCCGTTGTAGCCCACGTGGAGCCGTCTAGCAGACCTGGAGGCTTTTGGGGAAAAGAAAAAAAACAAAAAACAGGCAGAGTGAGGGGGTTCCCGGATGCTTGGTCTCCAGAGATCTCTCTCGCCCCAGCAAAGGGCCGGAATCTCCAGTGCTTGGGCTTCGCCTCGGACAGCCCAGGCGTGGCCACGCCCAGCGGCCGGAGTGGGCGTGCCATAGACGTGGGCGTGGTCATGGAGATTTGAGGGCGGAGCTTCCTGCCGGGTTCAGCCATCCTCCGACCCCGCCAGCTCCCGAGTCCCCCTCGTGGGTCCCAACCCGGACCTGGCGCATGCGGTTGGGTTGGGAAGGCGAGGACGAGGGCCTCGAGGAGGCAGCAACCCGGAGTGCTGCTGAAGCTATCTCTTCTTTTCTGGGGATGTCCTCCTGAAGAGCAGAGTAGGGCCGGGTGGGCGTTTGGAGCCGAACGAGCCTCGGCCAGTGAGTCCCTGGAAACCTCAGCATTGGGGATCGGGGGGCGATCGGGGGTACCGGCCCCGTTTTTACAGAAGGGAAAACGGAGGCAGTTTCAGGGGTGCTTGTGCATTTGGGATGTATTCCAGCCACTGCAGCCCCAAAGGAGATGGAAGGGGAGCTTGACCGGCTTGGCTGAGCATGAGGGACCGACCAAGCACCCCCCCACACACACACACACACTGGGACCGACCAAGCACCACACACACACACACACACACACTGGGACCGACCAAACACCACACACACACACACACACACACACACACACACACACTGGGACCGACCAAGCACCACACACACACATACTGGGACCGACCAAACACCACACACACACACACTGGGACCGACCAAGCACCACACACACACACACTGGGACCGACCAAACACCACACACACACACACACACACACTGGGACCGACCAAACACCACACACACACACACACACACACACTGGGACCGACCAAACACCACACACACACACACACACACACACTGGGACCGACCAAGCACCACACACACACACACTGGGACCGACCAAGCACCACACACACACTCACACACACTGAGTATGAGGGACTGACCAAGCACCACACACACACACACATACACACACACACACACTGGGACCGACCAAGCACCACACACACACACACACACACACACACACACACAGGGACTGACCAAGCACCACACACACACACACACACATACACACACACACACACACACACACACACACAGGGACTGACCAAGCACCACACACACACACACACACACACACACACACACACTGGGACCGACCAAGCACCACACACACACACACACACACACACACACACACACACTGGGACCGACCAAGCACCACACACACACTCACACACACACCCTCACCCCTGTGCACCTCTCTGATACGTTAGCTTTACATATGACCTGTTCTCAGAGCAGCCTGTTGCTGGGCAGTATAGCTGGAGAAACATCAACCAATAGGCTCCCTTTTTACCTTTCTGGACCCCAGTTTTTCCATCTGTAATTTAGGAATAATGACTGGCATCCACTGCATTGAGATTAGAATTAAAGGAAAAAAATTAATGAGAGGTTGAGAAAGTAATGAGGCTGATACCTGGGAGATCATCTACTTTTTACCACCTGGCAGCTTCACCTGCCTACCATAGGATGAGTCATCCCTTGCCAAATCTAGGAAAGAAATCCAGTGACCAGCCCCTCCACCAAAATACTTGGCAAAGTTCTGGGTTCATGGCTGGCAGCTTTGTGCTCATTCTGCCTCAATGCCCTTGAGCTACCTCTTCCTTAATTCCTTCCAGCCACAGGCCTTTAGGCAATCTTGAGGCTGAGGAACCAATTGTGCTGAGTTAGATGGAGCCCTAGTCCAAGTCTGAGCAAATCCCTAGTCTGCCCATCTCGCAGCCCCACTTCAGCCACCCTTTGATGGATCAACTCCATCTTCTATGGCAGCTACTCCCACTCCATGCTTTCTCTATACCTCCTCTCTGGCCTCCAACTTGCCCAGATCCTACTTCAGCCCTCATCTGAGAGCTGAGCAAGTAGCCACAACCTCCTTCACCTATGGCCAGGCAAAAGGACAGATACCCTATTCCAAGCAGGATGGTTGCTATGGTTTGAATGTGGATTGTCCTTCCCTCCAAATCCATACATCAGAATCTTAGACCCAATGTGACTGTAGTAAGAAGTAATACTGTCACTGGGCACTGTCTCTTTTTTTGTACAAGGTTATCACTTAAGCTACAACTCAACTTCTGGCTTTTTCTAGTTAATTGGAAGTAAGAATCTCATGAACTTTCCTGCCCAGGTTGGCTTCAAACCATGATCCTTAGAACTCAACCTCCTAAGTAGCTAGGATTACAGTAGTTATGAGCCACTATCACTTGGCTTGTTTTTAAATTTCTGAGAGGAATAAACTTATTTTCACAAATCACCAATATGTTAATAGTAGAAGACATATTCTAAAATATTTGCTGGCCTCTCCCTTCCTTCATTGCATCTTTCCCTCTTGTCGGTCAACCTTTTAAATAAGGATTGTGAGATGAGATTACTATAGATTATCCAGCTGGCCCTAAATGACATCTCAAGTGTCCTTCAAGACAGGGCAAGGAGATTAGGCACAAAGGAGAAGGCTACACAGACAGGCAGAGAAGGGGGTCAGGGCCACAGCCAGGGAGCTGGAAGAGGCAAGGCACAAGCTCTGGGACCTCAGAGGGAACAAGTACCCCCACATACACCACCCCTACACCCCCCCATCCCTGCCACCTTGATGGACACATACAGTGATTTTCTGATTTCAGACTTCTGGTCTTTGGAAGTGTGTGGTAATTTGTTGTAATAATGTGCTGGTTTGGGAAATTCTCATCCAGATTGCAGAGCTGTTGGCAGGAAAAAGCACTGTTATGAAAATGCACTGAAAGAAGGTCAAGGCCTGCCTGGGAGGGGGAATGGGGTGTGCATGTGGGGAAATGATAGACCAAGACAGGAAGTAGGGAGAAAGTGGCCTAAATCTAGGAACTCCATATGGGAGGAGGTATGGGAGGGGGTAGCATGGAACAGGGGGACCTAGCAGTGTTGGAGGAAGCTCAGAGATGTCCGAAGATAGCAGGGAGCCATGATCCATCCTAATCCTGGTAGCCTCAGGCTGAGCTCCTAGGGAGCGGGGACTTGGGGCTGCAGTGGTCCTGGGGAAAGCAGTGCCCACCCAAGGCTTCCAGCCCAAGCAGCCATGACCTCAGCCTGCCTGCCTTCACACCCATGTAGGTCAGGCCCAGTCCTGCTAAGTCATTCTGCCCCAGGGGCAGGCCACTAAGCCCTGTCCCCAGAAGCTCACACTTCCTTCACACCTTGACCTGGAAGCCTGAGGATAGAGTCCTGAAGGACAACAGCCAGGCCAAAGCCAAGGTCTTAGCCAGGCACCAATACCTCACACCTGTGGTCCTAACTACTCAGGAGGCTGAGAGCTAAGGATCAAGGTTCAAAGCTAGCTGGGGCAGAAAAATCCATTTAACCACCAATTAGCCACCAAAAAGCTGGACGTGGAGCTTTGGCTCAAATGGTAGAGTGCCAACCTTGAGGGGCAAGCTACTGGGGAGCTCCTTGGCCCTGAGTTCAAGCCCCAGTACCTGCACAAAAATACACAAAAACAACAGAAAACGCATGACATGAGAGACCTCCTCTTAGATGCCCATGCAGCAAAGAACCAGAGCCAGATTGTGGCTTTGTGCCTATACCTCAACAGCAGGGCCTGCTGACCCTTCTGGAAGGCCCCCCAAAGCCTCCCCCGGCGGGGAGTCAGTGGGTACATTTGGGGTATGGGGAGGACAGGGTCCCCCATCAAGCGGGAGAAGCAGGAGCCAGGAGCCCCTCAAGGATTCATGGTGAACTTGGGCTGCAAAGCTGGGCTGTTCTGGAAACAGCTGGGCTGTTCTGGAAACAGGAGACCGGAGCTTAGACCTTGAGGGGACAAGCACCTCACACTCTACAGACCTTCCTCCTCCTTACTGGGGCTATGGCTACGGGGTAACCCCCAGGTAGGGCCCATCTGTGAACCCCAAGAGTTTCTGGAGCTGTGACTGAACCTCTGGGCCTCTGGCCTGAGGCCTCACCAGGGAGGCTGTGGAAAGCTATTGGCCCCAGCCACTCATGCCAGGCTCAACACTGAAACCAGACCAGGGGGTCAGACCAGATTCCTGACAAACAAGAGCCACCAGGGAGTGGCTTAATGACTTAGAGGAGGGGGTGCTGCAGAATTCTTCTGGCCTCTGGCCACAGAAACCCAAGCATAGGCAGATCTGGAGCCATGGCCCTGCCCAACCATTCCCAAGCCTCTGGGCTTGGTGCTTCTGTAAGGTCCGCTGCGGGCACACTGGCTATCTGCAGTTCCTAGGGAGACAGTGAAGGAAGCTGGGGCGGGTTCCATAGAAGCAGCTGAGGACTACAGAACAATCACCAGAGCCTGGAGGAGGTGGGGGAGTT